AGGATATATTAAAGACAATAAGAAAACTAAGAAGTATTTTAATGTTTAAAACAAAAGTGGCGACGATTTCGTATTCTTATCTTTTTGGCTAATTCCGGTGGCCGTTTGCTCGCTTCCCACCTAATCATATAAAAATAATTTAGTAATAAAATAAAAGAGACCCAATTAAGATTTTATTTGAAATCAAAAGGTGGCAAACGAGCAAGCAAGCAAACAAACAAGCGGTCACCTGAATTCGTCAAAATGTCGTATCGACCGCTACCAATAGACATCCGCAAATGTATACGAGTTCCCTACCCTTATTTGACGGAGGAGGAGACGCACATGAAGAGGATACTACCCCTTACTATAAGCATTGATAGGAAGCTCTTTATGTGCGATTTGTCAAATCCACTTTCCGTTTCCTCTCCATTAAAGAAAAGGGATACTCATCCCTCTTGGTGTTGGTTCTTGGTCTGTCTTCTGTCTGAAATTTAGTAGAAAAATAAGAGTAAATAAAGGTGATTAGTGTTGTGATAACTCTTGTCTTGTTTGTCTTCTATTTAAAATATTATTTACTTGAGTTCTAAGTATGAAAAGTAACTTGAGTGCAAACCTCAAGGTATGGAAATATATTTATGAGAGAAAAAAAAGTCGGTGACATTTTCCACGTGCGCGTTGATGTCTAATGTATCGTAAGTGCGCTCTGGACTTTGACCCGGGATTATAATTATTACTTAACATAATAAATAGTTTACTAGCTTTCGTCCGCGACTCCGTCTGCGTGGAAATAAAAAAAAACAAAAGTGGGTATCCTATGTGTTCTTGCAGACTATCCTCTACATCTATACCTAATTTCATCAAAATAAGTTCAGCCTTTTAGTCTACAAAGTCTGACAAACATCCATCCATCCATCTAAACTTTCGCATTTATTTAAGACGAGCTGTTGCCCGCTAGTTCGTACGCGTGGTATTAGAAAACATACAAACTATAAACATTACAAAAAGCTACGTATCCCTCGGGAACCGGACATTTCTCGGGGATGATGCTTATCCCATGTGTACTCCAGACTTTGTTTTATATCTGTGCCAAATTTCAATAAGATATGTTGAACCGTTGCAGAATGATCGAGTAAACATTAAAAAACTAAATAAATGAATCCCACGGGAACCTTAACTATTCCCGGGATAAAAAGTAGCCTATGTGTTCTTCCCGACTATGCTCTAAACCTGTGCCAAATTTCATGGAGATCCGTTCAGCCGTTTAGGCTACAAACGCTAACAAACATCCATCCATCCATCTCTCTAAACTTTCGCATTTATAATATTAGTAAGATTAGTAAGAAGTAAGATAATATTAGTAATATTAAATTCTCCTGACGACAAAATTATTTATTTTGATAATTATTATTTAATATTGAAACCAATAAAACAACGACGCAAATAGCGTTCGGATTTTGTTTCATTTTATATGGTTATTTTCTGTAGAACAACATTTTGGGATCTACAATACATCCTTTTTATATATCTCCAACGGTTTAGGCAGCGTAAACCGAGAAAAGTGAAAATATAATTAAATTTTTAACGCCGGGTTCCAAAAATGTGTTGTTTATTAATTTATTAATAGATTCTCAACATTAGTAATAATACCACATGGCCTAATATTATTGACAGATAAATTACCTTTGGAGCGTCGGTGGCTCAGTGGTTAAAGCACTTGACTTGTAATCTACAGGTCTTGGGTTCGAATCCCGCCGTGTACCAATGTGATTTTCGATTTTTCGAATTTTCATATGTACATAATTTACCCGACGTTCTTACGGTGAAGGAAAACATCGTGATTCGTGATGCAACCTGCACATATCGGCAAAGAAATTCAAAGATATGTGTGAAGTCGACCAACCCGCACTGGGCCGGCGTGTTTGACTATGGCCTAATCACCCTAATTTAGGGTAGGCTCCGAGCCCCTCGGTGGGGACATATAGTGAGCTGGTGATGGTGGTGATGGTGAAATTACCTTTCTAATGGTGAAAGAATTTTTAAAATCGGCCTATTTGTTTTGTGTGAAACAAATACATACAGAAATATAAAAAATGCAAATCTTTCCTCTTTATAATATTAAGTATAAAATCCGGAATATCTCTTGATGTTCAAAACAACTATCTTTATTCACAACTGTTACATATTTCGACACAAATTAACAGTGGTAGAGTGCGCTTTAACATCTTCGCACTGTAGGGCTGACTCGCCCCCAGTAATACCACGACCACACAGAAAACAGTCGTGAAGTGTAAGCAATTCCGCGTTTCGTCTGATAAGTGTGGTGCCGGAGGCCTAATTTTATCTCTTTCCATTCCCACCCTTTTCTTGAGAGGAAAGGATGGGAAGGAAAAGTGGATTTGACGGTGAAGGAGACGCATAGAAACGGAAAATTTCCTCTTTATGTGCGTCTCCTCCTCCGTCAATCAAGGGTAGGCAACGCATCTGCAATTGCCGATGTTTATGGGCAGCGGTCGCTTTTCATTTCAGTGGATTCAGGTGGCCGCTTGCTAGTTTGCCACCGTATATTCTAAAAAAAAAAATGATTTCTTTTCAAATATAGACGGACGGCCATATTACAAGTATTATTACAGTATACATTTAAAAGTATTGTTATACTTGTAAATTATTAGAGTAATTTACAAGTATAACAAAGCACACACAAACTGAACTCCAATGCGACAACGCAAATATATCGAACTTTCCGTGATGACGACTAGTAAAACACTGAGATTGTTGGCGACTGAGCGACCAGACTGCGATTGAGCGCCCGAGCCACTCCTTGCCATGTATTTTATAAGACTACCCCCACTATTTCTTCCGTTTTCTAATATTTTCCTAACAATATTATTTTAAATAAAGATAAATAGTATTGTTAAATAACACAGATTAACGAATAACTTAAGAATATATCAAAATAGTTAAAAACTTAACACAACGAAATTGCAAGGCTGCCAAAAGTGTTACCTCTGCTCGCCTCGACGGGTGAACAATGGGTGTTAGAGTCTGTATAGTCTAAACCCTTGAACGGATCTCGATGAAATTCGGTATAGATGTAGAGGATAGTCTGGAAGAACAAATAGGATAGTTACTTTTTTTGACGGATGATGTTGCGCGCGAAAGCTAGTCTAATATAAGAAAACGGCATAAGAGGAGGACGTTATTGACCCATCATTATTTATTTTTACTTATGCCCACCGAGTCTTATAGGTCTATATCAAATAGCGTATGAACATGTATGTTATAAAAAAGAATGAGTAATTTTCGGTATTATCAATAATTACCACGTAATTTGGTAAATGTGACTATAAAGTTGGAATTTACCCATTTTCCACGTTTTTATTAATAACTCACTAACTACTCTCGTCAGTAAAAATAAAAAAATAACGTTTTTAATATTATCAATTAGTAGTTGATACGTTGTAAACAAATTAAAATAGGGCATCATACCTTATGATATTATTTATCATGCTCATCAACTTTGCCTAACCTATCCATATTTATTGTTGTTTATAATATTTTCCGGCACTAAAGTTATATCATGAAAAATCACCGTCATAAATGTGGTGATTTTCTTACTTTTACCTTTATTGTTGGTAATATCAATAACGTCCGAAAATTATGTATAATTTTTAAATTCATTACATTTACTATAACATGAAAATTGATAGTAATACTGACAGCTGTCAGTTCTTGACATTTTAAAAACGTCACTTTATACGTCACGCGCAAGATTACACATGATATTATTGCCTAAAAGTGATAATCGAAGCCTCTAATTGTGCAGAAAAGAGGCGACAGCAAGTCTTGTGTCTTCAGATAATATTAACATGATGAGGAGTAAGATAAGTACAATCGGTTGGTAAGCGACATGTCAATAGAATACGCGTTGGTTAGCGAGGGCGAACAAGACGAGCCCATAGAGTTGCCAACAGAAGAAGACGGCTCCTTATTGTTGAGCACGATCACAGCCCAATTCGCTGGAGCGAGTGGACTTAAATACCGTGCCGGTGGTCGGCTCCGGGGCTTGCGTCTGGTAGAGGAGAGAGTATCGCCCCCGCCTGGGGGCTGGGCGGCACATCGCTATTTCTGCGCATTCCCTCGCGCCAGCGCTCCGCCGTTGCGTCCTCGTTGCTCGGATTTAATCGTGCTGGGCTTGCCGTGGAAGACCGGAGAGGATACAGTTCGTGAATACTTTTCTTCCTTTGGGGAGTTACTCATGGTACAAGTTAAACGAGATGCTAAAACGGGTCTATCCAAAGGTTTTGGATTCATAAAATTTGCTGAATATGAAGCGCAGGTGCGCGCCCTTGGACGGCGACACATGATCGACGGTCGCTGGTGCGACGTGCGCATTCCCAACAGCAAAGATGGCGGCGCGGCCGCACACCGCAAGGTGTTCGTAGGCAGATGTACCGAAAACCTCACTGCAGATGATTTACGCGAATATTTTGGAGCCTTCGGTCAAGTGACAGATGTGTTTGTGCCCCGTCCCTTTCGCGCTTTTAGCTTTGTAACATTTCTGGACCCCGAAGTAGCCCAGTCACTGTGCGGGCAGGACCACATCATCAAGGGTGTGTCGGTGAACATTTCCACAGCATCTCCTAAGAGAGATAGAGGGTCTCGTTCTCAGCTGCTCGGATGGGGCCTGATGGAGGGCGGTGGAGCGCGCGTGTACAGCTGGCCGGCGGAAGCATGGCCGGCGCACCCGCAACACGCGCCGCCCGCGCCCTCCGCGGCCGCGCCGCCCGCCGCGCCGCTCTCGCCGGCGCGAGAACACAAGCCCTACCTCAAGTACCACTGACACGCTGACACTGTTAAATACTTACAGATTTTATATTAAAGCAAATGTGTAAATAATATACAATAGTAGGAAACAAAGTTACCTGTTTGTGTTTTAGTTCATATTGTTAAGGTCAAAATCTAATTTCATACTGAAAATAATTAACTAAAGCATTATAATTTAGTTTAAGTAATTATGTATTTCAAATCTTGGTAAAACCGAGGCAATATTGCACCAATCCAGAAGAGTGTGATTTGTTAGTGACACTATTTGGACTGTAGAGTTGGTGTGATGTGAACGCTGCAAGTGTTCACATGGAATAGTGAATTTGGATGTGTAAAGCTGAATTGTGCCGACCTGCCATATGTATATCCATGATGTCTCTAAGAAATATAATTCTGGCAAGATTACTAAATAAGAATTTGTGTGTGCCTTTATTATTATTATAGTAAATGAACATTGTATATAATTGACCACAATACAATTTAAATATCTTGTTGTCGAGCCACACATCTCTAATTGTGTTTCTATGTGCTTGACACATTTCATTAAACTATTTTCATGACTGCATTTGCTTTCCCTTTTTAATACAGCAATTGTCATCAGGTGCAACATTATTATATGTTATTACAAATTATAATAACAATTGTGATCAACAACTAATGTATGTGAATTATATTTCTATCTGTCATTTATTTAAATATGAACAGAAGAACGAAAAAGAAACGCATGTCATTGAATAAGTGTTTTATTTACAATTCTGGAGAAGCTGCGTAGTGCGGTATTGGCTCTCGGCTGCCCGCTGCCCGCTGCCCGCTGCCCACTGCCGCTGCCGCTCCAACCTCATCATACTATCAAACTTTACAATCATATCATTACAATTAATCTATTTAAAATAAATCTATCAAACGAATTTTTAAATTAAACTTCAGTATATTAAAATGAGTAAGGAAAGTTTGAAAACAAAGCCAGACTGATGTAAATTTTTCCGAATTTTTTAGTTAATTTTGGACAGCGATGACTGTGGTACATTATCTCTTCAATCTTATCGTCTTTCGCCTTTCTTCTGTAGGAAATGGTAGGAAAGGGCACAGAACCGGCATTAGGTATGGCGCGGCGGAGTGCGGCCTCTGCCGACCCCCGCGAGCTGCCCGCGCCTACGACGCGGCGCAGGGCCCGCATGCGACCGCTTTTTTAGAACATTAATTACATCGAAATGAATTAGAAGAGGTTAAAGAATGTATAATGTAAGTAGACATGCGGCGGCTCAGCGCAGGTACTTGGCGGCCCAGTCGACGCGCTCGCCGCTGCCCACTACCGTCGCCTCTGTAATCAAATCGTTTTCGTACTTAAACAAATGGTATTCCATTATAATAAGTTTAGCTATTTATTTTTATTTTCTGTTCACAATTTTAAACAATTAATATAATTGTAACTAACAATATTAATTTAAAAACTGGACTATAGAGGTCCCGCGTCCCGCCTACATGGCGCGCAAATCATCAATCCTAATGAGCTGTCAGAGATGTGACGTTTCTGCCAATAATCTAGTGTTGCGCCAATTCTATAGCGCGGTACTAATTTTATTCTTAACTCAAGATTCGAGAGTTCTATGTACTAAAGAGCGAACACCCACGTCCGGTCCGAAGCCTGCGAAACCAACAAGTTCAGTGTGTCTATGGGCCTGCTCCAGGGACCGGCTTTAAGCCCTTATCTGTTCTTGCTGTTTATCTGTGCGTTAACATTAGAGATCCAGGAGGAAGCTCCCCGGTGTATGCTATTCGCCAACGACATTGTTCTTGTTGGGAAGGATGGGCTTGAGGCCCTGAGTGGACTAGAGAGATGGCGAGAAAAACTGGAAATAAATGGATTGAAGATAAACAGATCGCAAACAGAGCAATTATTCTTCGTGACGGACGTTAGACTTCGGAGGCTTATCCAATTTTATCTCGATTGCCTTAGATGACGCTTTTACGTACCTCGGCTCATTAATCCAAATTAAAGAGTAAAAGGTTAGGGTGATATGGGTATGTTACGAGAAGAAATGAATCGCTTGAAACAAGAAGGACGTTAGTTATGAGTGTGGGCGGGAACACCGGCAGAGGTAGACTTATAAAGAGATGGATGTTTTGCGTGAAAGGTGACATGATCAAAAACGGAGTGATGACTGAGATGACGGACGATAGAGTTATTTGCAGGACGAAAACCTCGCGCGCCGACCCTACGGGAGTAGAATAATGTAGGGGAGATAATGACGATGATGATTTTTAATTTCCCTTCAATTCGTCTCACAATATTTGCAAAACAATAAAAGAGTCGCATTTCAAAATTAGAGCCATGTATGTGCATATGTATATATTTATTATAAAGTTAATATTTCTGTGCTTGATGTTTTTAGAACTACCCTCCGGAAGCAAACGTCCCTCTTCAATGTGGTGAAATCGTGACCGCGAAGGACCGCTGCGGCGCACCGGGCATGGAAAAATTAAAAAACAAAATGTAGTTCTCACCGCGATGCGATCGCAAGTATATGGGACGAAACAGGGACGTGTCGATGCGTGTCCCCGCCACGTAGCGCGCCGCGCCGAGGTAGGCCGCGGCGGCGGGCGCGGCGGGCGCGGCGGGCGCGGGGGGCGCGGCGGCGCGCGCGGGGGGCGCCGGCACGCCGCGCCGCACGTCGTGCACCACCTCGCCTCTACAACAATGTCGGTGTAGAACTCCTTTCGATCCTGAATCTATCGCGCAGCGCTCCGAGATCGTGAACGTACCCGAGAATGTCGGCGAAGCGGTCGGCGCGCGCCGCGGACGCCCCCGCGGCCGCCGCGGCGGAGTACCCCGCCTCCGCTCGCACTGCACTTCTACAAAGCGATAGACGCAACGTTAATACCCTCGAGGTGGCAAGACTTACTCTATGTAAAACAATAATGATTGATAAAACGGCTCTCAACCGGTATCTTCTGTAAAGTAAAGTATTCCTTCTTTTCGTCTGACGAGCATAGAGACTTCTGCGGCCAATTAAGGGAAGACCCTTTACCCAGTTTTTTCTTATAAGGAAACGACGAGCGAATGACGCTAGGCCATTATCAAGCGATTAGAGAGAGGGGGTGTAGTAGTAAAAATATTTTTTCTTATTCCAAAAAATGCTTAACAGTAACAATATGTGGACCAACTTTTTTTAAATAACTAACAAGTCGTTTTTGTGTCTTTCAAGTGGGTGTATAAACTCAACGCAGTTTTTAAAAAACTAGCGTAAAACAATTGAAAAAGGATCTGCGAAGACGCCGCAATGAAAGCAGTCCTTAAATGGAGATGTCGACTTAAAAATATAATACGAATCTTTAAAAAAAGGTATTTAAATTACATACCTAAAGTTTTGACATCAATATTATAGACATTAAGTTAAACTGAGTAATATAAAAAAAAAGAAAACAAATGAATAGGTAATAAAATTTACCTTTTAGCGCGCGAGGTCGGCGCAGGGACACCTAGAGCGACTCCAACTGCGAAGTAAGGGAACCTACAAGTAACAGACGCAACATTATTTTACATTTTTTGAGTAATCTAATTAATATTTGGAATGCGATCACTGTTATATAAGATTAACGCGCACATCGGTGCAATGAGAGAGGAGTTACCGTAGGGCTTGCGGCGCGGTGGGCCGCTCGGCGGGCGGGTAGCGCAGCAGCGCGGCCAGCAGCGCCAGCGCGGCGGGCGAGGCGCCGGGCAGCGCGCGCGCCAGCGGCACACCCGCGCTCGCGGGGAACCGGAACCGCAGCGCCTCCGCCAGCGCGAACCCCTCCGGCCACTCCCCGCGCTCGGGACTCCCCAGCACGCTGCAGATCTTGTATAGCTGATCGATTTCCGAATTTCCGGGAAACAGCGGCCGACACGTGTAGAGCTCGGCGGCGATGCAGCCCAGAGCCCACAGGTCGATGGGCGGGCCATAGTGCGTGTCGCGCAGCAGTACCTCGGGCGCGCGGTACCAGCGCGTCGAAACGTAGTCCGTGTATGGCGGCCGCGAGCGCACCTCGCGCGCGAGCCCTAGGTCGGCGATCTTGACTAGCTCCGGCCCGGCGCACAGCAGGTTCTCAGGCTTGAGGTCGCGGTGGAAGAAGCCGTGCCGGTGCATGTGCGCCAGCCCCTGCAGTACCTGGTACAGAATGTTGCGCAGCACCGGCTCCGGGAATGGCCGCTCGGCGTCTCTCATCAGCTGATACAAGTTACCTCGCATATATTCGAAAACAAAGTACAGCGTGTCGTTCTCACGTATCACTTCGCGTAATTTTACAATATTCGCGTGATTCAATTTCTTTAAAGATTTTACTTCGCGTAGGTTCATAGCCTCATCCCACGAGTAGTATTTCCGTTTCATACGTTTTATGGCAACCTTCTCGCCGGAGTCGCGGCGCTGCGCCAGCACCACGGAGCCGTAGGTGCCGTCGCCGAGTTGCTGCACCACCACGTACCGGTTCATGTCCGCCCGCCGCCAGGCCCACCTCACCCACGACACACTTGCCCGGCGCACCACTAAACACTGTCTTTCTTCTGCGGCAATAGCATGTCGTTGTTTTACGTTGAAGTAAATGATAATGAGAGCTTTAACATTTCTGGAAAAAAAAACATTTAAATGCAAATTATAATTTATTTTCAAAAACACTGGTCTGCAATAGAATTAACTGTAACTTGACAGAAATACAAAATTAGAAATATCATAGTGTTGTAAGAGAGATGTCTCTCTTAAATAAGGACGTTGTGACTAAAGTTGAAAATGGTATTCTTCCGTGGTTAAGATGCGTAGAAATTAAAAGCCTGTATGAAGAAGTCTGTAAGATGGTTAACAAGAGTTTATTTTGCGAAAGGGGGTGAAAACGTATGTGCAAGTTATACGTACCCCTTTCTAATAACTGCTATCAACATAGGATTTTCTCATAAAGCATATGTTGCGGTTGCAATTTTAGTAATTCCCTCATCCACGCTTGAATTAATTATTAAAATGATATAATGCGTAGGAACAAATACACTGAAAAAGAATAATGGACACATCGTTCTGTGCCAATTCGAGATCACCGGCTTTTCTTTTTATAGTAGTGTCGTAGAAAATTAAAAACCTATACTAACTTTTTTAAAATTAATTTTAACAATATATATCGCAACACGTACCACAATACCGGTTAATAATATGAAGCGAGATAACTACTTTGTTTTATTCACATTTCCATAACAACCAACAATAGAAAGGTAAGTATAGACCAACAAACTTAACTGGCCCGGTGGGTATAAGTCATGTAGGTCTAAATAATTTAGATTAGTTTGACCATACTTTTCAAATTTAGTAGGGATGGGTTGTGTAAAATCAGTCATGAATCTTATCGATTTTCGATTTTTATTCTTATAGAAGTTGGAATCGATAGATTTATAGTTATTACTTTTGAATTTTACAAAAAGCACTGTTTTCTCAAATTAAAAATTACCATAACAAATAATAGATTGAGATCCCAGACCAGGATGACGACACCTATATTCTAAAACTTTACTGTTATCTGATTAGATAGTACTCGTTTGTGATGTAACTGAATGGCCATTAGTTATCCTGTCCAATGGGGCAGTTACGGGCTATCACGCTTTGAAGTTGGTAAAAAACAAACCTAAGTTCACTTATTTTCACAAAGCTGATTTTCACACATGTGTTGGAGACCAGTGTAAGAATTACTAAACAAATATTTAACAATTACTAACAACAATTCCGTGGCCCGTTTTCGAAGACAGACGATTTAAAGTTGCCGAAAATTTGACAAAATTTTATTTTTATTTTCTAATGCTTGATTTTTATATATTATACTCAGAGGCCTATAACAAGACCCCCTGCAAGAAGGCAGACATTTCTGATGGGGCAAATGGCGACACTTTTAGTTACGCGCGGCTCGTAATACTATAACGTAAACATTGAAACTTTTCTTATTTTCAAATGCTTCATATTTTTATATTATACTCCGGGGACTATAACAATACCCCCTGCAAGAAGGCAGCCATTTCTGAAGGGGCAAACGACCTTCAGTTACATCACAAACGAGTACTATCTAATCAGATAACAGTGAAGTTTTAGAATATAGGTGTCGTCATCCTGGTCTGAGATCTCAATCTGTAATGAGAGTAAATAAATTTTTATTACTACTACAGCCGTACGTAATCGAATTGGACAAAGAGGATATAAAATAAGAGTCTGGACTCGGGATTTTTTTTAGTCTGTATTCGATTAATATACGAAAACGATGAAAAAAAAATAGATGACATTTCATGACAACCAACATGACGAACACGTTTTGCAAGGCAACCAACATAGCCCCTAAATGCTCTGAAGCGCCATGCTATCCTGTCAATGTTAAAAAGGTGCCACAATATCCTTGTGGCACTATACAATACAAAGATCTTATGGCATTCGGAAAATATGTGAACTACTAATGTCACCTTTGTCATAATTTGACCAATATGCATGGAAGTACTATAAAATTCAAAACATTGTCCAATTGCCCGTTGACACTGTCATTTGTGATGCCATTTGATCCTTGCCTGTATGTAACCAAAATTTTTAATTTCTCTTTCTTTTTAAAAGTGGTGACTGGTAATGCGTAACTTTCGTACGTAGAGTAACAAATAAACGTATTAATAAACATTAAATAAGCAATGAATCTTCTGTACAACAATGTTTCCTAGTCGTGTTCTCAAATCAATTTCGGTGTCGGACCTTGGCGACCAGGTATAGTGAGGTATACATACCATTTGTTACAAATGCAACCTGGCTGACTGACGCTATGAACAGCAGATATGAGCGGTGTGTTGACCAGGTGTAGAGTGAGCTCGGAGCAACTAGATTTGCTTTTGTCGTTTATGGAAGAGCACCGCGACTTTGCAGCCGGCAAGCAGTCTATTTACTCTCGCTTCAGTTCGAGCAAGCTGTGGCGTCTCTTGGCCGAGCGGCTCAACGCAGCAGCGGCGGACACGGGGGGTGCGCGAAAATCTCCAGATAAATGGTGCAGGGTAAGTGACATTATGACCCTTTTTAAATTACACACATACTTCCTATGCTTGATTATTAAATTTTCATACTGTGTTAATGGCTAAAACAAGCAGGCACAAACAAGTGTCACTTGCTCAATACTGTCCGACTCCCCATGTTGGAAGCACTGAACTTGTTATATTTTTATCTCATTTCTTCTACTACAGGAAATGGATCTTCAATAAGAAGAGAAATACAGATAATGAAATAACCTATTATTAACTGTCATTGGAAAGTATTGAAAAATATTTGGGAATTCACTTTTTAATTTGATAATTCCATGTACTATTTACTCATCATGCACAGGCTTATATAGTTATCATAACATCTAAGAACAAACCTAAACTAACAGACAGCAATAAAGTAGAAACAGTTCACATAGTTTAGAACTTGGACAAGGAGTGGACTAGTCCTCTCCTTGTCCTAAAATGTTGAAGATAGAAAGTAATTATTTAGGGTTCATTATCTTCTAATCTCAATACTTTCAGGCAATTCCGCAATTGACCACACGCAAGACTTGAGTGGTCAAGGGCTGTGCGTTTACAACTTGATTGCCATAAGTGCACTTATCAGAGACCTAGTTTGGCATCTTCTGCTATTAAAGTTTAAGGAAAATTTGCTAACTCTGTACTAGTTAAATATACTATGGGCTTGGAATAATAAAGTACAACTATTGTATTTTAAAACATAATGACATTTCAGAACATTATTGTTTTCTTAGATTCTTACTTCATCTTATATATCTATTATTATATACATGTATCTTTTTTTACGTGTGAGCTGTCGCCCGCAAAAATCATTAATGAATAATAAAAAATGTCTATAACAATTCCGCATGCATCAGTGTACCTGTTCCATAAAAATCCAAATGTCTAGCTGTGTCTATAACTAAGTTACATGAGTTTTGATATATTTGGAAGTGCCTTTGGGTAAAAAAGTGGAAAATTCAACTAGCTGTAATGTCTAAACTACTAGATATAATTAAAGAATAATTGGAAATATGTATAAGAAATGATGGTATTTCTAATATTATTCAAAATTTCAACCTTCTATTTTTATCCATAATAAAGTTATAAGAGTGTCAAAAGTGCCCTGAACCACTTTGAGAAGAGTGTATTGCCGTGCTCGCCTTGGCGGGTGCACTGCTCTGCGCCTAGATAAATAAGGTTATTTTGGTTATTGTTGCCAAATAAAATGGCAGGTAGGAATGGTTTAGATCATTTTTTAAAATCCCGCGCTAAAAAAGTTTGCGGGCAACAGATCATTATGACATAAATGTTATGTCTGAAGCAACATTTGACTGTATTGTATTGCAGTATTGGGCAGATATTAAGTACAAGGCCCGAAAAAAGTGTGCAGCGGGTGGAGCTCTGGGCGAACTCTCGAATGCGGAGGAGCGCCTTCAAAGCATCCTGGGCACGCGTCCGCCGGACTGTAAGTTGACCTGCCGCATGTGCAAGATATTTTTTTTTTATAACATAAGGTGGCAAATGATAAGCGGCCACCTGTTTCCGCCAAAATAGCGAAGCGACTGCTGCCCATAGACAACCGCAATTGTAGATGCGTTGCCTACCCTTACCGACGGAGGAGGAGACCCACATAAAGAGGATACTTACCCTTCCTATGCATCTCCTCCACCGTCAAATCCACTTCCTCTTCCCATCCTCTCCTTATAAGAAAGGGATTGTAAAGGGAAGGGACTTAAATTAGGCCTCCAGGACCATACTCGTCAGACGAAACACGGAATTGCTTCCATTTCACGCCTGTCTTCTGTGTGGTCGTGATATTACACCGGGCGTGTCGGCCCTACAGTGCTAAAATTTTAAAGCGAGCACTACCACTGTTAAAACTTATCCTAATAATTAACTTATGTTAATATCTACATACGAATACGAGTCATTTAAAAATTTTAACTGAGCGCCGCTTACAATCCACCATTAATATTTTAATGGAATTTTAAGTTTGCTCGTGGACTTCATTTAAATATTTAACAGCATCTTTAAATGAAGGCCACGCGCAAACATCAGATTCCATTTAAATTTTAATGTTAGATTGTATGCGGCGCTCACGGAGCGAAAGGTTAAGATTGATTTCAATACAGTACCATCTGTGGATCCCGAATTATATTTCTCGTCAAATAAAGCAAATTCCTAATAATAAAGGTTGAAATTTTTATCTTTAATGAAAAAGCAAGCGGCCG